TCATCTGAAGCATCTTCCAAAATGAATTTCCTAGATACCCACCTCTATCTTGGCACTTGTTTTCTGAGGACTCAAATCTGAGCATGTTGCTAACAGGAAGGGCAGTATTAGCTGAAGACTCAGCGCTACCTCTCCGTTGACGCTTTCAGACCCTCATACTGGTCCCATACGGAATAATTGGAAATAGTAGAAAATCAAAACAAACAAAAGGCTCAAACACAGGAAAAGGGAAATTGGAAATACATGAATTTAATGATAAAGAGACTGGAGATAAAATGTTAAGTAAACAAAAGAACTTTCAAAAATAGCCAAATAATATAACATAATTTAATTAAATTTAAAGGTAATACCATTAAATTGTAACAAAGACAGTATGCCCATGGATCATAGCAGTCTCTGCACTTTCTATGTGTTTGAACTGTTTCCAGATTTTCAAATGAAGTAAAAGGAACATATTGTATTTATTTGTGAGTGTCTCAGTGTGTGTGTGTGTGTGTGTGTGTGTGTGTGTGTGTGTGTGTGTGTGTATGACATGGAAGGGGACATTACCACAGCAGGAATGTAGAGGTCAGAAGATAACTTTGTTGAGTTAGTTCATGCCTCTCGACTTTATATGGGCTCCAGGAATTGAAACTGTCTTAGGGCAGGCATTGCAAGCACCCCTGGCTACTGATCTATCTTGGCAAATATCTCGAAATAAATATTTGTTAATAAATAAATAATAAATAAACTGAGATTCAAAAATATTAAATAGATAATTTTCTTGGCAGACCAAATGAGGTCTCCTGCCTTGGCCTAGGAGCTGCCACTTCATGTCGCCTCTGTTGCCACATGTCTGCCACATCAGAAACCACAACATTTCATGGACCTCTCTAAGTAAGGATTTGGACTATGATGTGTGAAAGGAAGCAATTTGTGTACCCTGTCAAACTGAATAATTAGAATGGACATTATAATATGAATTTTTGTTCTTGTATGAGGTAACTTGAAAAGAAGAGACCTTTGTCTGTGATTTGATGGCTGAGTGTTTAGAAGTATGCAGTCAGTGGAAAGCAGAAATCCAGGCCTATGGCCTATTTCTGGCCCAGAGTCTATGCAAAAGCATGGAAAAGAGACGGAGAGACACCAAGGTAACCATGCCAAAGGCAACTGAAGTGCACCTGTGCTACAGCAGTGATTACAGAGAACTCACCCTTTCCTCTGCCATTTATATATGTAAGAGATCCCCCACCCCAGTCCAGAAGTTATGCTCAGAAACCTTCCTTGCTCAGAGTCTAAGTAATGCAACTGCTTCTGTTCTCTTCATTACCGTCGTGAGGTCTCTCCTCTTCCTGGACAGAAAGTGGGAGATATTCTGACTCTGCAGGGTACTCCAGAGTCCGCATAGAGACACAGAGTGCCCCTTTCAAGAACTATACAATCCGCAGTGGAAACAGGACCAATGGCAGTCGGAACAAGGCCTACCGAGATACTTTAAATCTGAAAAGCAAACGGGCTAATTACTACATGCAGAAAAGAACAATAAGCACAAACTTTTATTAGGGTCCTTTTGTGTGTTTCTATTGTTCCCGGCAGTTATTTTTATAATTTTAGGAAAACTGAATGTCTCCATACTAATTTTGATGACATGGGGATCTGAGGTGAGTGTGTCCTTGAGGGCAAAGCTTTGTCTTCGCTCATCAGCAGCCTTGTATACCTGGCAACGCGCTCGGCACATTATTAATGTTTGTTGATTGAACGAAAGGATGAATAAATGAATGTAAGTGAAATTAAGACATATTTCTTACTGACAGACACTAATGACTAAAAAAGGCTTCCAACAAATGAGCAGAGTTGACAATTAAAGTGTAAATAGGAATCTAATGAATGTTCTAATTGATCTTCCCTGCTTTAGAATGTAGCCAGAATTTTTTAACCTTGAGATACAATTCTCAGCAAATTAGTAGACTGTCCTTGTGTGAAAATCTCTTTAATCAATCTAATAGTTTGTCTGCTCAACTATAGACTTTGTCTGCAGCCAAATTGGTGTTTTGTTTTGTGAGCCTTAACAAAAGTTGTGTCTTAATAATGCATTTAGTATGTACATGGACATAGTGTGCGTTTATATATGTTTAGTACATACGTCGACATAGTGTGCATTTATATATGTTTAGTATATACGTGGACATAGTGTGTGTTTATATATGTTTAGTACATACATGGACATAGTATGCCTTTATATATGTTTAGTACATACATGGACATCTTGTGCATTTATATATGTTTAGTATATACATGGACATAGTGTGCGTTTATATATGTTTAGTGTATACATGGACATAGTGTGCATTTATATGTGTTTAGTTCAGCTTGAAGGATTTTTGTGAAAATACGGACTATATGTTAATTTTTTTAAAGTTCTTTAAGGGGTAAAAAAGTTTAAAAGGAAAAAGAAATTTTGATTCTTTTCTGATGATTTTGCCTAAAAGAAAACAGGAAGTCAAGCCTTAATAGGATTTTTTTAAATTGATTCTTTCTCTAGTTTTTCAGAGGCCTTGAGAACTTGGTTCCTAAACATAGTTTAGTCCATTGTGAAGTTCAACAGCATTTACAAAGAAACAACGATGAGATAGCAATATCTATATATTTATTAAATATATATATTTATCCTGGCTTGACTACCCACTTCCAGGCTACAAAAGTTGGGGGTTGACTGGTGAGCTGGAGGGGACAGGGCTGGGAAGTATTTTAGTTTTAGACCAGCCAAAGCATCTCCCCTGGTGCCATAGAGAGCTCCGCTGTGCCCCAGGCTGGCAGGAGCTCTAGCCAACTCTCCTCTGAAGGAAGACAGGGGAGGTGGACTCTGGAAAGGCTGCAGCTGTTGCTTGATGGAAATGATGTGTTATGATTGAGGTGCTCCAGTCCCAACGGGTAGGCCAGAGACACATATACACATATACAGCTCTAAATGCACTCGACAGGCTTACTTTTCCATGCATGTGTATAAGCACAAACATATATAATAATTACAATTAACAAAGAGGCTGTGATTTTGTGTTGGAATGTGAAGATGTCAGATTAGCTAGAAAGGGTACAGTGCGGGGTGAAAATAATGTAATGACAGCTCTTACATATAAAATTGTAAAATAAATAATAATAACAATAAAAGAATAAAAGAGTCAGTCTTAAACTTTTCTAAACACTATGCAAAGTAACTGTGAGAGATTTGCAGCCTTAACACAGCAGCATACCATCAAGTAGAGGGAGATTGACATATAAGTGGGCAACCATGATACAGCCTGCAGGAAGGATTTCTCTATAAATCGACGGCCTGAAGATTGGCTTCCTTGTGGATTTGGGGGTTGGAGGTTGGAAATATTTCAAACAAAGCATTACTGTTTGCCAGGAGCGGGGGGAAAAAGTTTCAGTTCTAAAGATCTACCAAGCCCTGCAAGAACAGCTGTCTGCTAATTCCACGAGGGGTGGATTAAACCCATCGTTTTCCTTTGTATCCTCCAGCAAGGCACCCACGTACCACCATGCCCCTTTCAGAGCAGAGGAAATGTGGAAGGGAAGGGCAGGAGGTCAGGGAACTGCAGACAGCTCTTCCTGCAGCCACCTCCTACAGACCTGGGGCAGGGGACAGTGAGAAGTCCCAGCTTCCACCAGCATGGAGACTATCACAGTATATAGCCTCCGACACCAGAGCACCTCGCCCGCCTAGGCTAGGCTAGAACACAAGACGCTTCCTTATCTGAGAGTACCAAAAGAGCTACTGTTTCAGGAATTCAACTAGGGACAGAAAAACCTTTGTGGCATAGAGTGTGTAAGAGGGCAATGGGGAGTTATGAAAATGACCTTTTGAGACCCTGTAGGGACTTCACTTGTTTCTTACAACAAAGATGTTGTCCAACATCTAAATTTTTACTGTCGTTAATAGGTATTCCAGGAAGCACGAGGGAGAGGTTGCCTTTCATTGTTTGCTTTCTGTGCTGTTCTGTAAGCTAAGAAGGGTCGAGAAAGATTCTGCCCAGTGCCCCCAGCCCCCTCCTGCGTCTGCAGAAGCCCAGTTTCTCATTAACTCTGACTCAGTCAGTCAAACAATAGCGTAAATTCATTTTGCTGCCCGTTCAGGTCTTGATATTTGATTCTGCACTTCTCCGCCCACGACAACATCCATTGCTCCACTATAACTGACAATAAGCTTGTTTTCAGAGTTTTTGAAAATGCACCCCATAGAAACATGGTCTCCCTGACTGCACCCTTCCCGGCCCTCCCAGCAGACTCCTCCCTAAAGAGACACCACTTCACAAGTCTTGGCTTTTAAACTATCTTTGTTTCTTTTTCCAGGGTCTTGGCCTGTTTATGAAGGCTGGCCTGGGCTCGCCGCCCACAGGGGTCGTCCAATGGGCTGTAACTTCAGCCGCTCCCCTTAACGTTCTGGAGCCTGAACCCATAAGAGCTGGAACTTAGAGGAACTCATTTGTAACTCTTTCTTGTCATGAGAAGTGGTGTAACCGTGAAAGAAGAAAAGCAGAGAGGAAAATTGGGTTCTTAAAAACTAGGCTTCCGGTTTTTTTTATGTCGGACGAGGGAAGCAACCACAAAGTGTTGTTAACGTTGCTCAGCGGTGATCATTTCAAATCAGACCAAGACCAGGAAGACGCAAGTGTAATGGTGATAGAGAGGCTTGCACGGCAGAACACCAGTTAGTTCCAAACGCGTTCATTTATTCATTTGCAGTAACGGCCTCGGAAATGAGGGGAGTGGGATCCAGTTATAAAGGAATAGAATACTTCTCCAGCCCTCACAGTCAGAGGACTAATTCGAATTTCAGAAGGAACACTAACTTGCTTAGGGTACTATAAAAAGAGAGAGGGGGAGAGAGCAAATTCCACCCCGCTTTAATCAGCGTCCACAGCAAGTTTCCCTAATGACTTCCAGCTGCCTCCGTTTAGCTAGTTGCTTTGACAGAACTTTCGTACAAACTTGGAACATTTAACGTAGGGGGAAAAAAAAAGTTTACTTTGCCTTCCACTGCATCCTAACCAAAAGCAGATTTTTCTTGGATTATATAAGGATGTGATGAGTTGGAAGGGGTGGGGGGAAGGGAGCCAAAAGCCGGCCTCTGGCCTCTGCCGGCTTTGCAGTCTGCACAAACCATTCTCCAGGAGGCAAGGAGGAAAAAGTTCAAACCCTAGAAGCCCACAGCCCTCCCTGGTAGAAGCCCAAAGGTGCCTTCACTTCGGTGCATTCCTAAATTCTGAAGGGAAGAGACAGCTCAGAATTAAGACTCAGAAGAAGGTTGCAAAAGGGATTAAAATGTAAATGTTCCCTCTTCTCTCTGCCTCTCCATCACAACGTGGAAGTATTTACAGCCAACACTGTACCAACAGAATAGCTGCAACTAAGTGATCTCTTCTTGGTATAGGTGAATGAGCAGAGAACAATAAAAATATGGAGAATCATTTTAGAAAAGATGAGATATGAACATTTTATTAGGGGGCTGGAGAGATGGCTTAGCAGATAAGACCACTGGTTGCTCTTCCGGAAGACCCAGGCTCAATTCCCAGCACCCACATAGCAGCTCACAACTATCTGTGACTCCACTCCCAGATCTGACACCTTCACACCAATGCACATAAAATAAAGTTAAATAAACTATTAAAAAATAATAATGATTAAAAAACATTTTATTAATGCAGGTCTTTTATACTTTGTGTTGTTTGTTCATTTGTTTGGTTGTTTTAGTGATGTTGGGGTAGGAATCCAGAACCTCCACGCCATTCATGCACGCTGAGTAAGGCAGTCTATTATAAATCATAAGCTGAGGTTTCTGTTAGGAATATTTCTTTAACAGGCTTCATAGTCCACGACTAACAGGTTTCAAGTGTATCTTTAGAGGTTTAGACTGTCTAACTCCCTTTGTCTTCTAAAATGTGCACACCTTTTAACCTAAAGCAATAGCCTTTTTGCTATGACACCAAGATGTAAATCTGTTCCAGTTCTCTTACAGATGCATTCATAGCGCCAATAATAACAATATTTTTTTTTCCTCCTAGCCACCTGCCTTCCTATCTCCCTCAAGAAACAGCTGCCTGGAGACTCCAGGATGACAGTAAACCAGATGCTGCTTCAGCCACGCTTCTCACTGAGCATGAGCCCACCAACTCCCAGCTCTCCCCACTCCCATGTCTCCCATGACAACAGAAAGCAGCCAGACTTGAGCCAGCACCCTTTTATCCAGGGAGTCTAAAGTGTTTGGTTGAGGGGCTTCACCTCAGCTTTCTGGCACCCCATTATCCAAAAAGCCTGGAATGTTTGGTCAAAAGCATCACCCCAGCTCCCTAACACCCCTTTATACAAAGAGTCTGGACTATTATAGTCGGGGGCCTCATCCCAGCACCTGGCACCCATCTTTGGAATACTGGGCAGAAAGTTCTATTTCAAGCCCCCTCTCCTGGGAGTTGCCTTGGTCCAAACTCCACCTCCTCGAGAGGGCCCGCCAAACGGTAGTCCCTCCCCAGGGAAGGTCAAGACCACTCCCACACAGTCTACTTACACTGCCTCCCTAGAATGAACCTGTGTTCTCCGGTTTCCCCGTGGTCTCCTCTTCTCTCTCTTCTTCCCTTCTCCATGCTTTCCGGGTCCCACCCGGGAGCATTGCATTAAATATGGGCATCTTTAATTCTGTCTGATTTGGTGATTGGAATTATTTCTGCCAGCGGAGAGGCAGAAATAATTTCTAACAGTTTCAAATTCTTTTCAAATCTTAATTTTCTTTCAAGTAGGATATCATGCTCTTTAAAAGCAAAAGTCTCCACCTCTTGGGGTTCTCTGCCTTCCCGACAACTTCTTGCAGTAACATCACACATTAGGTTGGTCGTTGGAAAAAGAAAAGCTGTTGGGGACAAATTGGGCAGGAAGGAAAAAGAGAACAACATTGCCTTTTGATGAATTAATAGAGCATTTCTCCTCTGATTCCATACACCTGTAATTTTTCGGATGGCAATACATTCTCAATGTACAGATAAATTAATTGCACAATTTTATTTGTAGGACCTACAGAAAAAGAACTTTGGTAGGTCTTCAAATTTCTGTACTAAAACTTATCTCAGACATCTGAAAAATCTATTCACTTTTTGAAAACTTATTTTAAATAAAGCTGTTACTACTTTTTACCAACTAGATTAGTAAGAAAATGCTACTTATAATCTACATCAGGTTCTCTGTTAATGCCAAGTGTTTAACAAAGTCCTTGGGAGTAAGAGGTTTTTAACAAATTCATAATAGATTTGTCTTTTAATTCTCAGAGGAACAAGAAGTAGTAGATAAGTCAATCTTGAAGACATATCCATCTAATATGTATCTACTTTCATTACAACCATTTTTAAAGACTATTTGGTGCAAGAGATACTGACACTCACAGATTTTAATCCTACATCTTACTCTTCAGAATTTAGGCTCCACAGCATCGTGTCTTTAGAGGAAAAGAATCTGAAGATATCATCCTGGTGGCTGGAACGATTGCAGCTCTTGTCCTCCTCAAGTTACATCAAATGTCAATCACAGGCCTCACGCATAGATGGCTTCCCTTTGGAGAGCTCAGGGGGTTAAATCTCCCTAAGACATTTGAAGTTCTCCTTGTTATGATATTTTTCATGATTTTAGTTTGTATTTTTAGTATTTCTAAGTTATCTGTATGATTCCCAAGTTTACTGACAAAAATTTGTGTAGTGGTCCTCAAAACATGAGGGACCATGAGCTAGGAAAAAAAAATCCATCAGTTTATAGTGGCTGAATTTTGTCACCTGGCAAGCCCCAGGAATTATGCTTGCCTTTGAATAAATTCTCCATATCTTTATGACAAGATCATCTTGTCAGAATGTCAGCCATGCAATTGTTCATTTCCAAAATAAGAATTCTGCAAATGAAACTGGTCATCAATGCAGAATGTGAGTGTACTACATTCTGCTGAAAGTTTCTTCTTCTTGGCCACCCTTCTTGTATCTTCTTAATCCTCTTAATGGTTTCTTCATCTTATTTTTCACTAAATATACTCACATGTAAAATATTACTAATAAATATTCCTATACCATACTTCTTTCCCTTCCATAATTTATGTGTCTTACCTTCCTTTTAGATTATAAATTCCTTAATTGGAAAGGTAGTGCCTGGTCCATCTCTCCATCCTGGGGGCCAGCAGCTGACACACAGACAACATGAAGAACAGTTTGCTGCATGAATAAAATCACGCAACCCTACACCCTGGAGGAAAGGTATAAAATAAATCTAAAAAATATTAATAAGCTGATTCAAAAGCAGTTTCAGATAAACTATTAACAAGTTCTCAAGAGGCACACTTCTGGAGTGTCACTGCGGCGGGCCAAACACGAGCCATAGATGTGAACACAGCTGTGCTATCTCCAGGATGCACAAGTTCACCTGCAAAGCTCCTCGGAGCACACAGAGTCACCTAGTGACATGTGAGTCCCTGGGTTCCACTGCTCACCTGGGTCAGCAGTTCTCATTTACCTTCTCCACATCTCAGAACTGTGTGTCCAGCCTCGAGGCCTGCAAAGTTAGATTTCATCGTCGAATCAAATGGCTGATAGCATTTATGCTGTTTTTCTTAAGAAGGTACATGTGTTACCATGTCACAGGTCAAAGATGAGGTAGACTTGAAGGATCCAAGGAAACAGCTCAATACTTCCCCACCACAAACAAGAAAAAAAAAAGACTCAGGGACAAGTGTTAGTTGCTCATGGCAATGAGCAGAATATTGCAAATAGAGGGAAGTCAGATAAAGTTCAAAGTTGAAATTGAGATACAGGTCCAGCGTGGCATGGCCTATAGTTCCAACACTCTCTAGGATGTGGAAAGAGGATCATGAGTTCAAGAGAGCAGCCCAGGCTACATAGCAGGATTCTGTGTGAAAAATATAGACATACACACACACACACACACACACACACACACACACACACACACTCACTCACTCACTCACAAAAGCTATAAGGAAGATATGCTCTCCAGGAAGCATTCTAATCAGGCTCTAATGAGATCAAGTCACCTTACTTACCTCTTGTATAAAATTTGTCCTCATTCTCAAGTAAAATAATTCACAGACAATGCTCAGCCACATTCAGAGGATGTAATAAACTGAAAGGAAGTTAAACTTTGTGATTCCCCAATGGTAAAACCAAGTTACTGCAGTTACTCGACCTTCACGCCTCTTCAAACACTGTATTCCTGGAAGAGATAAACTTGGCAAAGGTAGACTTTCTGCTCTCATCGTTCTTACTGGTCTCTGCAAAGACAAGGGATCTCTATGAGAATCCATTAACCAAGAACCAGAGAGATGACTCTAAGTAAAGGAACTTGTCACCAAGTCTGATGACCCAAACTCAATCTACAGAGCTCGAGGACCAATTCCAGACTCCTTGAGGTTGTCCCCATCACCATGGTTCCCTTGCATCCCTCAAAAAACAGACAAGCAAAGAAAAAATGTAAAATATTTAAGTCAGTTTACCTACCAAGATAAAATATGCTTTCTCCACTTGTAGCCACGAGTTTTAAGTCACAGGGTTTTACAATTACACAAAACTTAATTCCTTGTATTTAGATGCAAACTATATTAGGTAAAGAACTCAGAACTGGGAATTAAAACTTGTGTCCCACCCTCGTTCAGTCCCTTACTACTTGTGCGATGTGAATGAATTATTTAAAATATGTTGAGTTTTTCCAATGGCAAAATGAAGGGCTAGGGAAAGGTCAATGACACGTTCTATAGTTACCTTCAATATTTTTGAGAGAATCCAATAAAATGGGAAAAATTTTAAATGAGGTCTGTAAATTCTATAAGACTTTGAAATATATTTATTGAACATGTTGGCTAAACTAAATACTTTAGGAATTTTCTATCATATTAAAGATGGAATTTTAAAAATATTCCTTATAACTATAAACTAATAGTTACAACTATTACATAAACAACTTTCTTATGACTAAACAATGCCTATATCTACTAAGAGCAACTATTAAAATAAACAAGTTCTTCCAGAAAGTTCCTTTACTCTGCTCCATTGAGCTTTGGGGCAATCTTTTATAAGCTGTAGTCTATTCCTCTTAACTGGATTCTAATGTGCATATGAGGATAACTCTCTAGATGCTCACTCTTTCCAGAAAGTATTTACTTAGAGAAAATTAGAATTTAATTTATACTGCATGATCAATATAGACCTTTATGCATGCAATACATCTAATACACCACAGGCAGATTAATTTCCCTAGTCAGTGATTAATTGCCTACTCTGTTTCTGGTGCTGGAGCAGGTGCCTGGAATACAGCTCAGAGCATAACGGGCAAGGTCTCTGCCCTTGGAAATGTCAAATCCATAAGCTCTTTTCAGAGCTCATCTTTCTCAAACTTGGCGATGTTTGATTTGCTTGCCAATTTGCCTCCTTGAAACTTTCTCTCTCAAATCTTCTTCTCCTCCTCCTCCTCCTTCTTTTGTTTTATAACCGACTAAGTCCAATTAGCGCTGCCCATACATGTACTGTGTAGGGCGACCCATCAATGCTCTCTCCAAAGCAAAGTAACTTTCCTCCCCTCCACAGCCATCCACATGAAGACATGATTCTTGTTTAATGTAGCAGATAGTTGCTATCTGTCAAATGCTCCAATCCCTTCTCCTAAATTACCTCTCTGCAGTTGATAGCCATATGACAACAGTTCTTAGCAATTCCATATTCTACCCTATTTCTACAAGACATAGACATCACTGCTGCCTCTTTTTCATTACTTTTGCTGAGCTTGAAATGATGACTGGAGCCTCTCCTCTGAGGCCACAGGGAAATAGCAACAGAAAGGAAAAACTGAACGTCGTTGCACTTATCTTCCTAGGTCCCAGCTAACTCTCCATTGTTTTGTGGGAAAAAAAATTACAACAGCAACATCAAAAAACCACCTGCTCAATGTGGTGTCACAAGTTCATAATCCCAGCTCTCCAAAGGCCAACAGAGGTTAAGTTTGAGAAAAACCTGCGTTACATAGAGAAAGCTTGTCTCTAAAAGGTGTCAACAAAACAAAACAAAACACCTTCTATTAGTGTAAGCTACCCCAGTCAAGTTTTCCTATTACCTGTCGCCAAACACATTCCTAATTATCACGTTATCTTTCTTATCCTCTTAATATTTATTCTCTGCAGAAATTTGACATTTTTTTCAGCATAGTACTTTAAAGACCAGGTTTCTGTGATCTCCAGTGTACATTCTATGAACAGTCACAATGAGACTATTTTTGTTGTTCTTTCAATAAGTTATTCCGCAGCTGTAGAAGACATACTACCACATGCAGACACAGCTCCAAGAACTAGGGATTGAAAGGCAAGCAGCAAGGATTCCATTCCATGTCCGCAGTCCACAGCAGAGACACTCTGGGAGTGCAATACTTCCACCACCTCCAATTCACCCTCATCACAGCTCTGTTCTGATACCAGATACTCCAACCGTATCTTTTATTGTCCTTACCAGAGCTTATGTGGTTATTCAATATGTCCATTTATTTTCATATATTTCTCCATTAGAAAACAATAAAGTAAACATTATTTCTATCACTTTGCACATTACATAACAGTCCATGCGGTTAGCAAACATTTGTTAAAATTTGCTGACTTTTGTCTACTTAGGTTCCAAATCACCTTCTAAGCATCTTTGCCTGAATATTTTATAGGAAATATCAATACCAAAGATCTAAAGCAGATATTTGCTCTGAATTTCCGCTCTCGGCCAACAGCTGCATCAGATACCAAAATCAGGAACTCCTAGGACACCAGTGGCTTCTCTGTGGCCCTTCACATCCAACTGGTACCCATATCCCCCCACTTTTAGCAATTTTATGCTTCTTATTCGTCTTCATCTTCATTAGTACTGTTTATCTTTCCTTCTGGCCAACATTCCTCTCCCTGCATAACATAGGTGTTATTATCGCTGCTACAACAAACGGCTCACACTCCTTGCTTGCAAGCTCCTTCTCTCTAACCTTCAACCCAATGAAGCATTATGCCAGATTTACGGATTGGAAAAGTAAGGCTATAAGAATTAAAGTAATTTATCCCAAATCACCAGAATAATAACTAGTAGGGCTGGGCACTCCTAAAGGGGAGGCCTCGGGAAGTTGCTGCAGCAGACACAGTAATGCGTGTTTACTCTGGGGCTACTAGGATGCCTGTCTGTCTGTCTTTCCAGTGTAAGTTCTCCCAGCCTTTCCCGGCGTGGGAATTGCTTCACTCTGGGCTATTAAAGGATTTTTGAGATAAACAGGCAAATGAAAGAAAAGGGAGAGATAAAGACTAAGGAATTCACCCAGGGGAATGCAAAGGGGGAGGAAGCAGTTGATAAGGTTGGGGGAGGGTGAGAGGGGGCCCGAAGCCTTTTAAAGGCCTGTTCAGAAGTTGTACCTTACCAATGTGAAGCTGGCTGATGTTTTCCTTAGTTCAACAGGAGAAGTTTCTGGCTGGTCTCTTCCTCAGGAACATTTACAAGGGTCAATCCTTGTAATATCCTGACTCAAAGTCAAAGTTAGCAGCCAACTGTCCCAACTCATTCACCTCTGCTCGAAAAGCTCTGACCTCTCCCCCTGGAAATGATTGTTCTCTGAAAAGCCAGGCCGCTGTGACCCAATTCTGATTTTATCACTTAGTGTTCCGAGAGTAATTTGGGGCTGTGTTTAGGGTGGTAATTTCTTCTGTATAGCAGCTAAAAGCCTTTAAATAAATCAGACAATTAACCTCCTATGCCATTTCACCCGAATTGCATTCAGGAAATTTATCAGTGTCCTCCCCATGCACCCCCAGTGTTTTCAAAGCCCCACCCACTCATTCAAGACCACATTTGTCACAAGTAGTAGCTGCAAGCAAGCACACCACATAACTGGAAAGCCACCCTGGTTCAGTTGGCTGTATTGGCTGTCACAGAGACAAAGGAGGCAGCAGGGGTAACACCCCATGACAGACAGGAATAAAGGCTTCTATCACTGAGGCTCATGGCAGCAGGGTGGGGGGGAGGGGGGCTGAGTTTGAGGAAGCCTCTAGTTCATGGGCTTAGGACCCTCAGTACTGTCCCTTGACACTAAACAGTTTCAAGAAAGCAATGTGGTGTGCGATTCCAACTGTGTCCCAAGTGCACCCACTCAGCGGCTGTACTCCCTTTCCCTGGATCCACTTTCAAAACAAATCTTCACTTCTAGCCAAAGGGCCACATGTGCAAAGTAAAAACATTTCTGTTTTTACTTTTCTTTTGTTTGATGCCTATTTGTTTCTGTAATACCAGTGATAAAGCACATTAACAGGAAGACTTCCTCATTGCGCTGGGCTTTATATGAGAGGGGCTTTAAAATTTTATAAATTTACTATCACTTTTACTTTCAGTTCTATATTATTTAGAATTTGTGTTCCATTCATGAAATAATAATGACCGACACTTACTGGGCTTTCCATGTGCCAAGCTCTGTTCTCAGTGCCTCATACATATTAATTTTGTCTTCAAAACAATCCTATCTGGTGGGTGCTATTCTTATGGCTCCTATCTTTCAGATCCAGCCTCTGCGCACAAATGTTTGAACCACACTTGCTCAGGTCGTTAGTGCATGGAGCCCACACTACAGAGTCTCCTAATTACCGGCCGTCCTACGAACGGCCACTCTTTGTTTTCTCTTCTCCCTGTATTCATTTACTTCCATCCCTATTTTAAAGGCTTTTCAACTTCAGGTAACAGCATCTGTATATGGAAGACACAGGGATGTGCAACCCATAATTGTGGAACTTAACAGCCCCAGATCGTCTTTGAGAACCTTGGGAGAAGACATAGATCATTCCTGTAGAGACATGGACACCTTGTTTTCCCAGTTTTTGCTTGGAGTTGGATGGATCCATGTGATAGGTTTCTGAAGATAGTGTCCAATAGTCTCAGATGCCACTGTTAGGTCACATAAGGTAAGAATTTATTATGAGATATAGTAACATCAAAGTCATTGCTGGTGGTGCATAACAATTTGCCTGTAAAATTTGTCAGAAGTACTGTTGTCTTAGTAATGTAGAGTTGAAGAAATTATTTCAGCAGTGACAACAGAAATAAGGTATCGACTGCCTCAGAGCTCTGCTTCTCTTCCCCAACCCCAAGAAACCTTTCGTGCCTTTGTCTCCCTCTCTACTCTGACACATATAAGTCAAATTGTCCTAAAGAAAACTGATAACCCATCTTCTTTACTCTATTACTGAAATACTGCATATCCACAATGTTAATTATCATAGTCTTAAGATAAATGAACTATGCTTCTGAGAACCTGAGCTGTGAACTCGGTCATATGATTGACTTTGGTCAATCAGACATTAGCAGAGAGAATCTGCATAGAAAAACTGGGATTTGCCTGAGCAATTGGACTTGGCATACATACATCTCCTTGGGTTAGTTGATGCACCCTGGATTGCTCAGTGGTCCCTCTACACACCACAGCTAGCTGCAGCATCCTGGAGCCATGTCTGGTTACATTAGCCTGCTTCATCCAGTGCACAACTGTACTGGGAAGCCAGTAACACTTTCATTAGAACTATTGATTCAATAGTTACATTGCATAACCTTATTGTGAATAAAGTTAACTGTGACATAATTTGATTTAGAAAACTTTCAACTCTTCTTTCTAAATAAGGTTCCGTGTTCTGTCTGGATTCTTCTCTAATTAATTACAAGTGTCAAGTTGTTTCAAAGTATTATGAAGCTGTCCCTGCTTCAACCAATTAGGCTTTTGGGTCAGTCTCTCTTAAAGATTCGCAGAGTTAAACAATTTGATGAGAATAATGGCTATGCCGAATCTCTGTATCTCCCAGACCATCTGATGGGGTAAAATGGCAATGAGACTTCACATTTCTAACTATGAGAACAGCAATTAAAATCACATTTCTGGCTGTTTTATGCTGCCTGTTCTGACTCCTAATTGAGGACTCTTGGGTCCAAGCTGTATTTAGAAATAAAAGGATAATTCAGCATTATAAACCATTGTTTTCTTGTTTTGTTAGTATCTATGGTCCCTTTTTCTCAATCGTATTTGAAAATCTGCCACCAGAGAGAGAGGGAGGAAGACTGACAAAGTAAGTTTTTATCTTTGGTACTTTTTTTTATATCAGTCACATGCTCCAAAAATTTATCCCATTAGTAATTAACATATATGTTTATATATTTTAATTGTTTCATTGAAAGGTCTTATAAAAAGTGATGTGCTCAACAACATCACAAAATTATTGAGCTAATAACTTCACTTTATGAGGAAGGAAATTAAACCTTAAAATGTAGCAAGACTTACCCATATAGTTACCTAGACAGCAGGAGAGGAACTAGATCCCAAGATTCCAGGCTCTTTTGAAGCACACATTTTCCATTTTTAACTAGCAATATGCTACCAGGAGAGAGACAGACAGTGAGTCAGAGATGGAGAGACAAAGACAATAACCCAAAGATAAAGAAACAGAGATAGACAGAGAAAGGCGAGCACAGCTTGGTGGATATTAACTCTAGTCTCTCATATTCGTACAAGAATCTGCTTTTGATTATTTTTCAATATATTTTATCTAAACATCTCTTTACATGGTAAAGAAAACGGTTTTCATATCAGAATTTAATCCAAATATTCTTGAGGGATTTAAAAAGTCAGTATAATATTTATTCTTTCTAGAGGACAATCTCTTAAAAGAATAGAAAGCTGTCTTTTCACTGCTCTGTTTCGAAACAAACAAAAATATCTACCTTCTATATTTAAAAGGTATCTTTAATATTTTCATATGCAGAGCTCTGTACTTTAAGAAACAGCTCATCAATTCTTCCTTACCTATCCTTAGAAGAGAGGAAACAGAAATGCTCAAAATCTGCCAATTATCCGAGGATGCTTAGGTCACTAAGTCAGTGTCCCTGAAATGGATTCAGTATGCTTTGTACAGAGTGCTACCACAAAACTAGCATTCATTAAAATGAGGTTGTGTATTACGCATCATAGTATAACTTTATATATGTTAACATTGTTCTCTGTTATATTCGTACATATTTGTTGTAGGAGGCTGCTTGTTGGTTCCCAGCTGCTCCGCACTGAAATAATCACACAGAAACTAGATTATTTAAATCACTGCTTGGCCTATTAGCTCTAGCCTCTTATTGGCTAACCCTTACATCTTAATTTAACCCATCTCCATTAGTCTGTGTATCACCATGACATTGTGGCCTACCAGCAAAATTTCAACGTGTCTGTCTCCGGTGGCAGCTCTATCGCTTCTTTCTGACTCTGCCTTCTTTCTACCAGCATTCAGTTTAGTTTTCCCCACCTAGCTCTACTCTACCCTATCAGGCCAAGCAAGTTTCTTTATTCATTAACCAATGGTATTCACAGCATACAGAGGGGAATCCCACATCACATGTTTATATTATGTATCTTATTATATTATCATATGTACCATACTACATATTTACATTATATACCACCATTATATATATTTACATTAGCATATTAATATACTAATAAAGTAGAATATATTTTAGTGGAGTAATATATGAATGCATACATTATGTTAATCTATATTAATGCATGTTAATATATTAATATTACATGTATATATTGGAATCGTGCAATGATGTTAGTATTATTATTATTAATATTATTAGTCTCATTTTATAGATGATGAAAAATCTTAGAGATATAAGTATCTTTTCCAAAGTAAGCACTCCCAATTTCTGGCAAAGGGGTCAATGTCTTTTTTACAAAATGCTATCACATCAGAATACAGCTAGCTCCAGCAGTGAAACATGATTAAAGTAGTTCAGAGGTTTTCATGGTGGGTTAGCTTTATAGTAAATAAACTACTTTGTTAGAGCACTATGGCTTCTTAGTTTTTTTTTAATGGACTTCATTACTTCATAAGTGAGTTTGCAGTTTTGGACCTCGGGGATGAGGCTTCCTAGAGAGTAAGGAGTTGCTGTGACCTAGCAGAACATCCAAAGAGTATTTGTCAGTGTAGGTGGTATTCATATCTTATTACAGAAGGATATTACACAGATACATTTGCTTTGCAAAATTATGTTATACAGGAACATTCCCCAGCTTCTATATGTATGCTATATATCGCTATAGTTTTTGTTAAAATTACCCTTTAAGATGTCTAAAGTTTGTTTAGAATAAGCCTACTCTGTGTTTCTGAGAGAGCTGTTTATACTCACCAGCAGGGAGACAAATGGGGCAGAAAGGCAGAGGTTACACCTATGAACTGTAAATGTGATGTCTTGTTCATTTTCATCCCAATTCAACCTTTCTAAGGCTCCACATTCTTTCCTGTAAAAACAGAAGACTGGAGCTTTGTGAAGTCTTGTTAAAATGCTTTTGTTCTTTGTTACCTTATCCTCTAATTAAGATTTTTGTTTGAGTGTGTGTTCATCCAAAAAAAAAAAAAAAAAAACAGACAGCAAGATGAAATTAAATGTGAAATAGATTTATTGAGGAAAGAATCCAAGGAGGCTGGAAGGGCTGTCAGACTGCAAAGCAACTGTGACCTTTCTGAAGGTGAAAGGGCAGGGCTCCTCCAAACAGCCTATTCTAAATGAACCAGGCTTGAAGAGGAGGAGAAATAACGAGTCCAGCTTGATCTAATGAGCTTGAGCTGTCTTCAGACATCAACTGCGAGGTGTCACAGGAAATGTGGGTCTGAGGTATGCGGAGGTTGTGTTTGTGAGTCATCTGTCTAGGGGCTGCAGTTGAAGCCAAGGCATAAAGAGAGAG